TAAACCAAGAAATGGGAGCGCGCATTTCAATGTTGTATCCAATCAGCACGTGCCATGTACATTCTTAGCTCTAGCGTCCTATGTGGACCAACCCAATACGCCCACCAAGAGGCGCGTCATCGCGAATATCATATCGCTGGGTACTTGAAGCTGGTCGGCGAAGAGCTTCGAGAAGTTGCCTTTGGAAGACCACTGGGAGGAACGAGGCAGCAAGCTGAGTGATTGGGGTGACAGCAATAACTGTCCTTGTCAGGGATCAAGACGTGTTCACTTTGAGTTTTGCATCCATTGCGACATTGGCGCATCGACGCAGGCTCGGTCGATCGCACGACGCGTATGGTTTCTCGTCACGTCATCGGATGACGTGATAAACTGACCTGCCACAAACAGCTGGTCTCATGCAGCTCGCTGGGGACGGCGGTACAAATGCGAAGCAGTCAGCGACGAGTCCATCATATCCTGTACATGTGTGCATATTGTCATACTACTGATTTCTATGGTTATGCGGTGCATTCCATTCAATCTTGCTGCAGTTGCAAGATTCACATCCACGTCGGGCACATGGCTGCCGTTGACACTGCGCCTTACATGCCAGTGTACATCCATGGCGTATTGCATATCTTATAGGTACGCGATGCGTATCGATTGCGAACTGCCGCTCGGGCACGGAGTATTTAGGCATGTCGTGGGCATGGTACGGCGATGGACCTAGGCCGACACCAGCGACGTGCTTGTTTCCGATTCTCTTGGGCGTCGCATCGGGCACCTGGTGTTCGTCGTGCTCGCGCTCTTCGTCCTGGCGGCGGTCGTTGCGGCACTGACTGCTGGCGTGCAGCTGAAAACCAATGTTAGCTTGACCGCTGCACACGAGGGTCGTAAAGCAACCTGACCCAGGAGCAATGACAAGGCGCTGCACGAGCGCGTCGAGCATGGCAGGATCGTTGCGTCGGCGATCATCCACGTGGCCGAGACGCATCGCGGGCGCATGGTATTTGTACTCGTCCGTCCAGGTCGTGCAATGGAAGAGCTCGTCGTGGCGCACTGCAGCGTCAATCTAGCACATGTAGTCGGTGAGAAGCGCGTCGAGACCGGGGTACCTTGCCTCGTTAGTACACTTGTCCAGGCGAAAGCTCTCGAGGTTCGGCGACTGGTTGCAGGTCATGTCGCCGTAGCCACCTAGAGGACTCGAGAAAAGGACCTGGTACGCGCTGCACTTGCGCGCGTAGTCGTGTCGAGGCGAGGCGGTGTCGACCTCGATCGTATGTACGCGCAGCTTGTTGTCGAGCCCAAAGACGCTCGCGGCGTCGTGTGCTTCTTCAGTGGCGTCAGAGTCTTGGCCTTGCTCCTCGTCTAGGACAGCGGCGGCGCTCGACTCGACGTCGCCTTCGAAAGCACAAAAGGAAGCTGGCTGCAAGCAATTGGGACGGCCTCTCGGTTGGCTGTTGGCTTGGTCTTGCCAGCCATATGTGGGGCTCTGTGTGGATCTGCCCAATCGGACGCGTTCGGATCCGCAGCGATCGACCAATCGCGGGGCCACCCGCGTCTTCCGCACGCAACTTGGGTGGTGCGGCCGGGAAAGGCGATCGTCGGGAACGGGCTTGTGGACGCGGGGCTCGTGGTGCCGTGGTGCAGCGCCACGATACACGCCGCATGACAGCCGAGAAGGACACGCCAGCGTGAAGAGACGCCGGCATGGCATCCGGTTGAGGTCACCGACCACGCGCGCATGGTCTGCCTCACATTGCAATCGGTCCTTCGACCTCGGCGAAATGCATGAAAGTGAAGACACGACGTGTCGTAAGGCCCGAGTACTGGGGCCTGCGCACGACGTCGTGCGAGCTACAATTGCTCGGCGAGTCGGGTTCATCGCAGGATGGATCTCTGAGCTCACTCCCAACGATCCCGTACTGACTGGTTCTTGCTCGCATTCAGGCGTACTGGCAGCAAAGTCTTTGAGTTAGATTAAACTAATTTGATTTCAATGCGAAATATGTTGGATTGATTGAATGTTATGGGGACTACATCTAGAGCCGGGCACGCGGGCCGGGCTGGCGATGTAGCTAAAGGGTTGGCACCCTAAAATGCAATATGAAAATGCATACGAGAGGAGAATATGCATACCGTTGCTGGCGTCGGCTGGGTCGCCTTGCTTCGCGGAGCCGCCTTGATGAACTCGATCTCCGTCGAGTGCGCGCGAGCTCTGCGGCCTTGCAGCGCGCGTCCAGCTCGGCGACTTGGCTCGACTGCAGCCGCTGGGACTCGTCGGTCGCTTGCTCCAGTCGAGTGTGCTGGGCCTGCAGCGCGTCGTACTGTGCGCGCGCAACGACCAAATCGTCCTTGTCGTCGTCCGCTGCGTCGGCGCGCACGATCGCCTCGTCCTTGTCGGCCGCGGCCGTCGCCGGAGCCGCCGTGCCCTCGACCGCGCTTGCTGCATCGGCCGGCGCGCTCGCGCAGGGGCGCAGCCACGACGTGTTCGCGGACAAGTCGACGTCCGGGAGCACGGCCGTCTTGGACTTGGTGAGCGCCCGCTGCACCTGGCCGCCTTGTTGGCGGCCTGGCCCGTCGCGGCGCCAAAGGCCGTCGCGTCTGTCTCGGCCGGGGCGCCCGTCGTGCGCGCAGACGACTTAGATCTTGACGGTGGGCCCGCCTTGATCATCGCCGCCGTCCTGTTGTTCAGATCGGGCGCGGACACGACCTTCGTCGCAGCGATGTACTGCGGGACGCGTTGCTATGACCACGGCCGCTCGTCCTGCGCCGCCATGCTGCGAGAGAGCGGCCATCGCGGAGCGTGTGGAGCTGCTGATTCTGCGTACTATGTTGTGGGGGCCAAGCGAGCAAAGCAAATTTGACGTCGCCGGAGATGAAGTGTGAATTGATTTGAATTTAAAAAAACCACTCGCGTGTCAATCAAACTAATATACCAATGGGTGAGTCTAAAGTATATGCAGTGCTCATTGTATTGGGGTGCAAAGGCGCCAAATTGCATTTGAATTGCGTCCGACTTGCAATAAAATCCCCCTCGACCTCGAGATATTAGACGTTTTGTATGCAGTCACCGCCATCGGATCGACCAATGACGTGGCGCGTTTCGAAGTGAAAGGGGATGATGGTCTTAGGGCTCGGGCACAGGTTCGCCTCGCTCACACGTGTGCGTTGCTTTGATGGCTGCAAGCCACTGCGCATGGTATACACAAGCGAACGTCTTGCTTCCTTTCAGCCAAGAGAGATTGCAATACTAGTAATAGCATCGATGGCCTTTGAACGAGCAATAACACCGCATGGACCAGGGCTAAACGCACGCAACTTGAGCCTGTCGGCGCGGGTAGGGTTACGAGAACACGACTCTCGCCTGGAACTTGCGACGACCAGACGGTGACGCCTGGCTTGCTCAAAGCGTACGGACAAACCGATCATCACGACAACCACGCAGGTCGCCATCAACGACCTCTGCTGTCTCGGCCTCCCTGTGGTCAATGGCCCGTGGATGCGCGGCGCCCATGCAACGAAAGTGGCCGGCTGCCTGGCCCTCCACCGCTACGTACAGCTGCTTACGACGACGCTCGCGCCGTTCGCCAACAAGACGCCGGGTCGCACGCTCGTGGCCGCCGACTCGCTCGGTTGCAGTTTTGGCGCCGTGTACCAAGCGCCGTCAACGAAGCCTACGACGTGGCTCGACAGCCATGCGTTTGCGACGCCCCAAGGTCCTCTTCCGAGCGGCGCCGAGTGCCCGTACGGCGTGTGGCTCGTCGAGGTCGAGGATGGCGGAACGCGTAGCCGACACGCTATCGGTGGTGCCATCGAGATGCGCGGCAACGATCGCGTCGTCCGCCGTCGGTCGCGTGCCCTGCGCCACCTGTGCTCGTGTGTTTGAAGAGGATAACCATCGTACTGCAAGTGTAGCAAGTGTAAGCGGCAAAGGGATAGCCATACTGCTCGCATTATTTAATGGAGCGCGTCTGCGTTGTGGGGCAAGTTCGGAT